AGACCTCTGGACTTGTTTGCCAGCCATAATAACCTATGGAGTTGGCCAGATGTGTGTAAATTACTGTTCATGGTCATTTGAAAACAAATGCCGTTGTTGGACACACACAAACACACCGAACATACACACACACAGCGGAGCTGAGCAGAGCGCATACACACACATCATGTGCCTTAGTGACTGGACATTTCCTTCATACAACGAGTAATAGGGGGAATAATCGGGCCGTTCGATGTGTGTGTAGAGGTGTGTGTGGTTGAAACGTAGCAGCCTGCAGTGAGGAACACAGTGAAGGCGGTGTGTACGCGCTGGTGCTGCACGCGCTGGTGCTGCACGCGCTGGTGCTGCACGCGCTGGTGCTGCACTTCTCAGAGGCTGCCCCCTGATGCTGCAGCCATTTCATGAAGGGAAGGAGGTTTTACAAATAAAAATATAGCTCTACACCCATAGCCGCGATGTCCTTAAAATGAAGTCTGAGTTCGAAATATATCTCCAATAATGTATGCACTGCCATTTCCCCACATAAACATAACAGTCTGCGATGAAACGGTTGTCTCCTGTGTGCTCCACTTCCTATTGGCGCACCGGTAACTTTCTCTGCGCACGAGAGGCTGAGACCTTATGCTAACCAATTTTGATTTATTTTGTATGTTTTGGATGAAATAATATGACTGTTATAGGTGCGAAGATTTAAAAAAAAATGTAATATGTTTTGATAAAATATTTTTATATATTTATAATTCTGCAAATATTACGATAAACTCACAGCTATTTCGCGGCCCGGCAGTAACACCTCCGCGGCCCGGTACCGGTCCGCGGACCGGGGGTTGGGAACCCCTGCTCTAGAGGAGATCTGCATGGAGGAATGGGCCAAAATACCAGCAACAGTGTGTGAAAACCTTGACCTCTGTCATGTGATTTTCTGGATTTTTTTTTCCTTCTCATTTTGTCTCTCATAGTTGAGGTATACCTAGGATGAAAATGACAGTTCTCTCTCATCTTTTTGAGTGGGAGAACTTGCACAATTGGTGGCTGACTAAATACTTTTTTGCCCCACTGTATATTGGTGTGGAAATAGTGACATTTTCCTCTCTGTTTAGGCGATTGCAGTTACCGTCACGACCTTGATCACGGAGCCGCTGAAGCACATCGGGCAGGGTATCAGTGAGTTTCTTGTTGCCCTCCTCAAAGATCTACCGATTACCCTGCAGATCCCAGTTCTCCTCATCATCGTGCTTGCCATTGTGGTAAGGAGTGTTGACACACTGACCCCCATAAAATAAATGTTTCTCTATACTGATACATATTAATCAAATCTACAGGTTTGCATGTATGGAAGTGTGCAGGCAGCCTTCCAGTATGGCATCGCTGCTCCTTTCCGCCGACCTCGCAGGGATCCCCTTCCTCCACAGCTGGAGCAACAGCAGCAGCCTCGAATCCAGCAGATCGAGGGCGGGGACTACTTAGCAGGCGGGGACTACTTAGCGGGCGGGGACGCACCACAACCTGCCCTGAGGCTCCGAGCTGCTCCCGCTAATGGTGGAGGGAACCAGGTTGGTCAGAGGCGGCCCCAAAGACCCAGGGAGGAGCCAGCCATAGAGGTTGTGGAAACACTTCACGCAGACGAGCCTCCCTACAGCGAGGATGAGGCAGATACTGTGCAGAGTGAGCCGGAGCAGATTGTCTCTGCTGAGTCAGAAAACCAGACGGAGACACAAGAGATGGAAGGAGAGAGTGCTAGCAATGCTGCTGCTAACACGACCAAAACAGAATCTAAACCCGCTGAATCTCCAGCGAAATCTAAACCTCTGAGAGGGAATGTAGTACCTCCTCCAGAGCAACTCAGCAAAGATCGTGCGGCAGCTCGCTCTCAGCCAAAAGGAAGGCCGCGTGCACAGACTGATGTCCAAGTGAGTGGTTTAACTACTTGAAAACTTAATTAAATTAATAATGTCTGAGTTTGGAAAAATACTGCTTTCTAACTCTCAAAGTACCCTGTTTATTTTTTAATGCTTCAGCTTTGCCCATGCAAAAATGGGATGGTGAATATTCACAGGCGACATAAATTGGTAAATAAGTATTTAATAACTAGTTCATATTTTAATTCCTCACTTCCATGTGTTTGTGTTTTTACGATCCATATTGTGAATGTTCAGCCAGTAACCTTTGGATAAAATGTATAGCTGTATTTTCATATCCTGGGTTTCTGCTGCCACACCATACCTCTTAAGTTTGTTAAAATGTAACACACATAATGTACTAAGTGAAGTGGAATATCAATTTTAACCAAAATACCATGACCTACTGATAAATGAATTTGATGATATCTAAAATCTGAAGAAATCAATAAAGAAGTGGAATTCCATTTCAAAAAGTACATTGAGTTAATAATTGTTTAATTGCCATTTGTAACATCTTAGTCAGATTAGACCAGGGGTTTACAAATTCTGATACTGTGAGCCAAGATAACTTAATATTGCTGTTTGGAATAACATCAGGCTACATTACTTACATAAAAAAATCTGTCCTTAAAACTACTGTGCCTCTGACCTACCTCCTTAATCCAACACATTAAGGCTATATTATATGATCCATGGAAAACGAATGCATCTATGAATGTATTCTGTACAAACTGTGAAGTCCCCTAAGACACATGTTGTGATACATTGTGATATTAGGCTATATAAATAAACGTTGATTGATTATAATGTTTTTCCTTTTCCTTTTAGTCTCTGTTAAATCAGTATTCAGCATCCCTTAAAAGACCGGCCTCCCAGTTTGAAAACCTCTGGTAACGACATTTAGGGACTCAAGCCAGCATTAGGCTTAATTCCTTTACGAGGCAGTTGCTTTATTAACTCAGTAGACATATAGGGGCTCAATCTATTATTGCTGAATCTATTAGACTTTGCTTTATGAATGTGTTATTTGCACATCTTTATTTAATCATGTAACCTTTTGTCTAATATATTTCTGATGTTTACCTCGTCCCAGCAGGACCTGCATGCTCCAGCAGAGGACAGGACCCCCTCTGTCTCGCTGCTGCACGTTGAAACCGTCGGAGTTCCTGTTCAGGAGACGTCTCCAACATGAGCGGAGTAGGCAGCTTCTGAGCAGGAGGATTAGCGTCTTCAGTGTTTGGTGCTTTTTGTTGGACTGTGATGCAAAGGACAGTTACGACGTACAGGCATTGTTCAAATGTGCATGCACAACATTTCAAAGGTTCAATCAGGGAGCCAGTCCAGTGTTGCCAACTAGCTTTATATTTCTGCCGTGCAGCCAAAGGAAGGTATCTTTCCCTGAGTGTAGATACCAATGCTGTTTGATGAATCTGTTAATTATTTCAGGTTTATTTTTCAGTCTGCTGTATTTCCTCAGTAAGAAAGAGCTTAATATTGTATAAATTGCACATCAGCTAGACTTAAACAGCTATCAGGGAAACGGATTTGTTGAAAGTCAGTATTGTTGACTTGATCTGATGTTTCAGTCTTACCCATGATCAGGAATCAGGTTCTTACAAACTAGGTTTTCTTAGTTTCACTCTAATGATAACACAGACTGTTTTGATTAATACAATGAACACTTGAACATTTAAATGTAGACTTTATAACGTATAAGGGAGGAAAAAGATTTCCTAGTGCTGTTTTCACAAAATGATATTTTTGTGATTTTTTATGTTTTGTATGAGGGCTTAAAAGGTCATGTTGAAGTCAATTGTTATGGGCAGCAGTACTCATTTACTAAAAGTGGTAATTATGAATTTCATAAATTCCTAAACTAAAGTCTACATTACAAAATCATTGATATAAATTATTTAATCAATAAAAAATGGAATAGTCAGGTAAGTATACTGTCACAACAGAAAATGGGTAGCAATACAGTCTTTCTCTCAGCATATTGTTTAGGCTTTCAGGCTCAAAGATTTAATTTACTTGTTTCATTGTAGACTGTAGAATTTGCTGGACACAAACACGACTGTAAATGAATGATAATGAGGCTACATGTCTGTTGACTATGCTCAAATGTTTTCTACATTAACTTTATAAGGTGATCATATATCCATGTTGTGGGGGCAGTTTATTGTCACTGCCAAATGGCCAAAGAAAAACAAATGTAAATAAAATGAACTCCTTTAGAGATAAATAATGTTTCCTATCAGGTTTTTAATTCCAACACTGGTACATTAATGGGTAATTATTGGTAGGCAATAAAATATTGTTCGTTTTTTGTTTTTTCTAGTGTGGAGTTACTCAGCTAAAATAAAACCGTAAGAAGAGGTTTGGCAATTTGAGTTATTTTTTACTTATGTCAAATCCCCATGTGAGGGGTGTGTTTGATTTTTTGTAGATAAGACCTAGGATTGGATCATAACGGGGTATTCACAAAGCGGACAGGGCTGTATCATTGTGGACACTGATGTCAGCTTCTTGGTATTTCTCTCTTTATGTTGCTTGCCATAATTAAAAGCACTTGGTAGATACAGGCTGATTCCTATTAATGAGGAGGACTAGGGCCACATGAGAAAAAACAATTTTTGGATCTGACCAAAAGTCAAACAAAATGTTGAGTTCAGTTTTTTCTCAAAATTCTGAGATACTTTTTAGTACACTTGGTCACCTCCCAACATATTTTCTCATGTGGCTTTAATTGTCTTCCGTAGGTTACAGATTATTTTTTAGACTCAATATATGAAAACATGACTATCCCTAAACCAACAAAATGTTTGGGTTTTCCTCACCAGAATGCTATTCCTAAATGAAATAAAACATTATAAACCTGAATTATAAAGATTTGGAGACTACGTTTTTTATTATTATTGAAGAACAGAAACGATAAAGCAACTGTTTCTTCCGTTTTTTGCACACAGTCTGTTTATATTTTTGCCATTACCAATGACGATCGTCTTGGTGGTTCAGCGGACCGCAGATTGGAAACCTTTTCGCCGCCTGAAACTAATTTCCTGATTGGCTGAGTGGAGGGAGCTGTGTCACAGAACCTATCTATCTGTAGAGCCTCCTCTCTGCTGTAACTGTTTGTCCGTCAGCCTTTTGACAACTAAAAACTCGCTTTTCTGCTGTGTCCACGTGGATCATCTATCATGGAATTATTAGTTCGGTATCTGGACCGCAGCAATTCAATTTGGTAAGTATTAGTTTTAAGAAACTAGCACTAAAACCTGTAAAGGTTGTTTGTTTTCGACATTTTGAAACTAACTCGAATGTTAAATTATTTTAAAATGGTGTTTCTGAAGTTTAATATGTAACCCATGGTTAAACCGGACAAAATTAACATAAAGCGATTTAAATGACGTAGATGTTGTCTTTCCAAAAACAACAGCACCACTCAGTTAATTATTCCTGACAGGACCAGACAGGTAGTTAAAACAACTCATCTAGCAGGAAAACGGCTGTAAAAGTGTGTATATATACAAAAATATCCTTAAAGTTAATTTCCAGCAACTGTAAAAATAAGTAGTACGAGATTTGAACTCTGTCAGGGAGAGCTTGTGGGCAACACATTTAGGAAAATATTGAAAGTGTACTTTCTAACCTTGGACTTAAACCCAGGCAGCCCCATGAATTCATTCAGTGTACTTGGCAGGCACATGCAGTTCTTCCTGTGAAAGATGGCTATTGCTCAAGTTTATTTCTCATAAAATAACTGCTTTCACTTCTGTTTCTTTTCTTCCGGCCTGCTGTTTCCTGTCCTCTTCATTTCATTTTATTTATTTCATTTTGTCTCTCAGCTCTTGCACAACATTGCATGTTGTTTGTCTTTCAGCTCTGTCTCAACCCAAGACATTATCAAAGAGGATACCCTGAGAGATGACCTGAAGTATTACTTTATGAGCCCCTGTGAGAAGTACCGGGCCAGAGGACAGAAACCCTGGAAACTTGTGGTGCAGATTCTGAAAATCGTCATGATCACCACACAAGTATGTAGAGTGGGATAGATGAGGAAATAAGGTAGATGAGGAAATAAGATCCACCCATGAAATGCTTCCTTCGAGCTGTAATCAAAGGGATGACGTATTTTACATGTTTGACACAGGGTCTTACATAATGTGGGTACGCCTGTTTCTTTTCAAATGGCAGATGAAGTAGGTGAATTTACCCATACGTTTGAACATTATGCTTGCACGTAAAGATGACAGTGAAGGGCTCTGTAGTCATCTTTCCTTGTGGCACTAGATTTTCTTTTTTTGTCAGCATTTTACAAACAACCTAATATATAAAAACTAACCAAGAGACCAATTTCTTTATCAACAGATTGCTTAAGAGGTAAAATGACAACTTTACGAGGTTCTAGCTACACACTACACTCCATAAATTAGGATTAGTTGAAAGTGCTGCACAGGTTAAACTATTCAAAATCGAAATTATATCAAATATTCCCCAATTGTTCATCTCTGCGACAAGGAGCCACTCCAACCTGTTTGCATTCTGCTCCGAAATAGAAATCTGTTTCTGACCAAAATATTCAGCATCTTCCTCAATTTAATTAATTTACAACTGATTATATTGGGGAGATATATATAATACAATATTTGTGATAAATTTGAAAAATGACTTTGCTACAATTAACTAAAGAATCTACAAGCTAGGAAGTACATTTTTGTATGTGATCTTCAAATGCTGGGAAGTGAAGTTCCAAATACGTTTTGTAAATTAAGAACAATGTAACTGACTAAAATATTAAAAAAAGGTATAAATGTAGTTACCTTCAACAAGTATTCACATAAAAACATACATTTTCTCTACATGTTTCCTCTGTAGCTCATCCTGTTCGGCCTCAACAACCAGCTGGTGGTGTCCTATAAGGAGGAGAACATGATGGCCCTCAAAAACCTCTTCCTGAAGGACTACAGTGGGGTGGATGAGGACGACTACAGTGTTGCTGTTTACAACCAACAACAAGTCTACGACAGCCTGTTTTTTGTCCTGGATCAGGCAAGTTTAACCCCCTCACCTCACACACTCACACTCCCTGCGTTTGCCTATTATCTCTAATATGTCTTAAATGCAGCTTTATTCCCAAAAATGAGGTTTATTTAACGATGGTGGTGTAGATTTGACTGGGCAATGCACTTCAAATGTATCCCTTTTTGTAGCTTGTTTGCATAGTTTGATAATGTTAGTTCACAGAGAATAATGGCTCTCAGAAATAAGTCTGTGTTCTTGAGGAATCGTGACAATCCTGCATGAAAACGTTTAGAAATGTAAAGATAATCCATACAGGGATAAGACCAACATATATTTCTTATGTTTCATGTAAACACATAATAACCAGGATAAGATTTTAACTGTGATGTTTATATACATGTACAAATAAAATGAATGGTGACTGCTATGTTTTATGTAGTTGCCTAATATTTAACCAATAATATGGCAGCTTGTAGCTTCCCTCGTACATCATGTAGTCCCCCTGATACAGTTTGTTTTACTGATGCTCATATTTATAGTACAGCCAGTTGGGCCGGCTCTCGGTGGGTCCCATCAGTTACGCTGAGGATGAAGAAGGTAAGCTGCTTCCTCTCATCCTGTGTAAAGAATACTACAAGAGGGGCACCTTGGATCCCTCCGATGAAGCCTTCGATATAGACTCCGAGCTGGAGACAGGTGAGAGAAAACGACTACTTTTTATCTTCCTTTTAAAAATAAACACAATATTTTTCTGCACTTTTTCCTGCAATTTAAATTCAGTTGGACATTTGTATTAAGTCACAGTACATGAATAAATCCAAACTTGGATCACCTTTTACATTTACGGAAGTTCAAGTAGCAATACTACAGTGTACAAACGATTTTACAGGTTACATTCTAGCATTCCAGATTACATAGAAGTACCCAGGGGCGGACTGGGACTAAAAATCTGCCCGGGAAACTCGACCGGCTGACCGGCCCAGCTCGGTACCGCTAGTCAATTGTCAACGGGGGTGGGGGTGCTAGTGAATTGTCCGACCGGCCCACTTCGGTACCATTCCCAATGGCCAGTCCGCCCCTGGAAGTACCGATTTATTAGCAGCAACATACTGTATACTTATACAAAATTGTACTTAGATTCAGTACATCACTACATGTAATCAGCCCTCTCCACAACTCTTTGCATGTGTTTTTAAAGGAATATTAATTAAGGACTAAAACATATAATAATTCAGATACATTTTACATTTCAAAGTTTTGCGATAATTTTTACGATAAAAAAAAGTGATTACTTATTTATTAACTTTATGAGGAAAAAAAACTTTTGAGGAAATAAAAAGTCCCATTTTCTCACTCTGTTCATCTCCTCTCAGTTTGTATGTCACATGATCCAAAAACTGCAAACCAATGGAAAACCCAGAATTCCTCCTTTTTTGATCTGGACTTTTACAGGTATACATCCTGCTCCTATCCCTGTGCTGTATCTATCACAGCTAACACCCACTTACTTTTCGTTGATATAATACATTTGACTTCCCCTTTTTCCCAGGCTTGTTGACATCAGAGCAACCTTCCAGCTGAAAGGAATCAACCTGCAGACTGTGCGATCACGGGAGTTACCTGACTGCTACTCCTTCTACGTTACGGTATGGTTCAACCATATTCTCAACTGTATTCTTAAACCATACAAACCACACCAAAAACGAATCCAAGTAGACATTGTACTGCTGTTGAGACCTTTTGCCTACACAACATTTGATGATAGTACAATTTACTTTTACTTTTCTAATCCCTTAATTGGTCTACTTCCCTATGGCCTTGTCCCCTAGATAACATTTGACAACCAGTGTCACAGTGGAAAGGTGAAAATATTCCTGGACATCGACGTTCAGAGCTGTGCGTGCAGAGACTGGAAGATATCTGGCACGGGTAAGGAGTGGATGTCTGTCCTTATGAAGAAATAAAAAAAGATACATTTAAAACAAAAAAAACTGTTTGATAAAGTTTAGTTACAAGTCATCTTACCAAGGGTTAAGACAGAGGTTGGCATACACATGAATATTTGTAATATTTACACTGGCATATTTTAGATTTAACAATGTATATTAAATTAGATAAGATTTATTTACTACAAAATAAGGAGAAATGGTAAATGTTTAAATATCAACCGTGAAAGATGTTCATCTATCGAATCTACAATATATTTATACAGAATTAAAGTTATATGAATTTCGTATCAATTAATATCGATAGATGTTCCACTGTGGTATGCAGTCTGACTTTTAAATACTTGACTGTACTGTACTAATACTGTATTTTTCTGAAAACATACAAACAGAATAATTTTTCCGCCAAAATATGTACATTCCTGTTACTGTTTATTGATATTTAGGCGTTTTCCTGTACACTTGTTATCAGTAATGAGTGTGAGGGAGTTATGTGAAAGATAAACCCTCACACACACACACACGCACAAACACACACTATGTCTGTGTTTCAGCTCAGAAGAACACACACTATCTGCTGGTGTTTGACGCCTTCGTCATTCTGGTTTGCCTCACATCGGCGGTGCTGTGCACTCGCTCCATCGTTCTGGCTGTCAGGTTACTGCAGGTCAGATGTTCGGTCTCACAATATATCAAAACATTTGTATTATCATACAAAGAATTAGATTTATATCACCTCGTTTAGTTTTTGATTGCTCTGAACTTGGCTGTTTTTATCCCTTTTTGTAAAGCCAAAATTCCCAATAAATAAAAACTTGTTTAAATTCACATTAACACAACATCCAAATGACTATTTATTTAAAACACCAGACATTGTGTTTTAAATCTTTAAGAGACTTTATTTACATGTGTGTGTTTTCAGAGATTCTCCAGAGTCTTTCATGAGAACTACAATCATAAAGTGTGTGAGAATGACCAGAAGGAGTTTCTGAACGGCTGGTATGTGCTGGTCATCGTCAGCGACCTCTTGGCTATAGTTGGATCCATACTGAAGATGGAAATACAAGCAAAGGTAAATCATGTATGTCTGTCTTCTAAATAGGTAATATAGAGCCAAAAACTGACTTGGATAACTACAGGTCAAATGTCAAATAAACATAGAACAAGAAGCAAAATATATAACTTTTTCGCACACTGTAAAAATGAAGTTAAGTATAAGATACAACAAAATCAGGCAAAAAAGAAAACATTTCCCCCCTCGAAAGAACATGTGAAGCAGTCAGCTTCATAGTAATGTGGCATCACCTTTGCTTGTATGTCCTGTAATTTATATAGCTATTGAAGAATAAAAATCAGGGAGTGTCTGGTGGACTTTGAAATGAAGTGTTTAATGTAGACACTGGCCGTTTCTCAATGTCGAGTAGAGCTGCTGAAGAGCCACTATTTCAAGTATACTACGTCATCGAGTGGCGCCGAAGGACTGTTTAAATGCCCAGCATTCGGCGCCACTCGATGACGTAGTATACTTGAAATAGTGGCTCTGCAGCAGCTCTACTCGACATTGAGAAACGGCCATAGTAAAGATATTTTTTATTTCAACCTGACTCACTGTCATTTTTATAGCCACCATGCAGAGTGTTTGCCTCAAGCCTATTAATGTTAACAATCCCCTTGATGCTGCTTTAGAATAGAATATAATTGGGAGGGATGACATCCTCTTTAATGCTCACACATGCAGAGCACAGCACACACAGTGACATTTGTTCTCTGCTTTTAACCCATCACAGTACCAGGAGTCTAGTACTAGGAGTACTAGACTGGCAGCTAGTGTACAACGCCCGGGGAGCAATGGGAGTGAGGGGGGGGAAGGGCGATGTCCACTGCCTTGCTCAAGGGCACCACGGCAGGGCAGGAGGTGAACTGGGACCTCTCCAAGTAGAAGTCCACACTCCATATTTAGGTCTGGTCGGGGACTTGAACCGGCGACCCTACGGCTCACAGTCCAAGCCCCTACTGTCTGAGCCACTGCCGGTGGCTTAACAAGTCAAAATGCATTTTCATTTCTTGGTCACTAGGTCAAGTTAACTCAAACAGATAACTCGGAAACAAAACAAAAAACTGGATGACTCCTTGTGCAGGAAATATGTAAACTTAGTTTAGATTTTCACACACAAAATGTCCGTTGTGAGTTATTTGTGTTATAACCAGGGATGATAAAAGCAAAAAAGTTACTTTAAAGGTGGGGTAGGTAATTCACTTCAGAAATACTTTTTGTTATATTCCATGGAATGCTCTTAACATCCCGATAGCAATGAATATATTAAATGCTTTGACAATAAATACATTAAAACATTTCATCTGTGGAAGCGTGGCGCTGTAAAAAGCAAGACCGATTATTTTAGCCGGCCCGGCTAAAATAACTAGATGGCCTACCTGCCTGTCAGCCTTCCATCTGTGCACAAACTTATCTCGTGCCCTCATTCTTACATACCTTTAAGTCACGCATTAGTTAACAATTGATAGGATGATCCTCTGTTGCAGTTCCACATAAAACACATCGTACTTTAAGCTCTAATAAAACTTTACCATCAATTATGTGCTTGTTACAGTAAAATCATCTGACCTTATGTACCTTTTCCTGTTACCTGAGGCTATACTGTGTCATTATTCACAAACTACATATTTTACAGGGCTTTACTGATTGTTACAGCAGGACCAATAGCTAAATGATCTCTCAGTGATTTTGTTTTAATCTCCTGTAGAGTCTTACCAGTTATGATGTGTGCAGTATATTTCTGGGAACGTCTACATTATTGGTGTGGGCCGGCGTGATCAGGTACCTGGAATACTTCCAGAAATACAATGTGAGTCTGTAAACCTTTTTTCTCTTAATGCAAGTGGCCTTTCTTCACCGCTAATAAAATGCCTTAACACATTCTTTCACAATCCAAGCATTGCTTAACAATTCATGTTTACTTCCTGTGTGTTTAGGTGTTAATTCTGACCATGACAGCAGCCTTCCCAAAGGTGCTGCGTTTCTGCTGCTGTGCCGGCATGATCTACCTGGGCTACACCTTCTGTGGGTGGATCGTCCTGGGACCATACCATGAGAAGGTAAACTCTATACTGGTCTGTGGAGAGGCCTAAGATTAGAGAAGTGAGTTAGTCATTAGGCTGGGCTGAATCTCTGTACTGGCTTTTATTTACAGAAGTTTGATAGATTAGGGGAACTATTAATGTTCTTTCAGTGTCCTCGCCCCTTCCTACAGAACTGCTGAAGCCAAAGAAAACAATATTGCATTAGAAGTTTCTAAACATGCAAGTTTTTTTTTAATTGGCTGAAACAGCATACTGTGATTGAATGCATACTTTGCAAATGAACCCCAGTTAGTATCCATGGTAATTACACACATGTTCTCACATGTGAGAATCATGCAATACAACAGTGATTTTACCTGTACTGTTTACACTTTTTTTTAAATTTAAAATATTACCAGCTCTACCATGTTTACCCTATTTTTTTATTTCTAGGATCCTTGAAGGTCTTATCCAAATGTTTTTGCTTTCAGTAACTCGTCAGACTTCTCCCAGGGTTAAATAGCCTTTTCATTGCTGTGTCAACAGTATGTCCTGCAAACTGAGGAATATGAAACAACTGCTTCCTTGTCCTTGAACAGCGGCTTGTTTTTAAAGACAGTGATTATACAACCACTTGGTGTCAGTATATGCCTTCTCCAGAAAGTGCAGCCTTCTTCTCTTTGCAACCAAATTGCAAGCACACACAGATATTCAAGTGTTTTGGGGGATTCATATTGTTTTTAATCAGACTGACGTGAGTGTAGAGATGCTGGGAAATAAGTGGAGGAAAATTGGGAATGGCCTGGAACAAAAGTCCTCTAGGGGTGCAACAACTAATCGACTTTAGTTGCCAACTAATTCAGTCGTCGATTCGTTGGTGACGTCATCACATGTGTTTTACGCGCCGTTAAACTCCAACGTTATTGGTCTTTTTATCGGTACTGGAGACATTTAACAAATATATGTCATGTATTATTGCTACAAAAACATTATATCGCAGTCTTAGTGTCGCCAACTCGTTTCTAATATGCAAAAAGACAAACAAATGCGTCTATGATGTATTTTCGATCAGACGAGATCTCTCTCCCCCGTCTGTGTGCGAGGGGGCGGGGCAGTTTACACACACGCAGCTGCTACATGCAGCAACACACTGCGGAGATGGCGGAGAGAACGCGCTCCGAGGTGTGGTTAAACTTTACCCGTCTCGATGTGGAGAATACTTGTTACCATAAGTGCAATAAGAGTTTAGCATGTAAGGGCGGTAACACGAGCAATTTGTCTAAACATTTAGCAAAAGTGATCCACATTCAAACGGAGGAATGCACCGGGTTCGACTGTCTTTCTAGTAACTCTATATCCCCCATCCACGAGTAACGTTTCCACGTCAGGTGTTATGTATGCTAGCAGCAACACACGGAGTTAACTACATTATACAAACATGGGTTAATGATTAGAGGTAACTGAGTTATTTATTTAGTTAAAGTTTCAGCTATTCTGTTTACAGTTCTGTCATCAGATTATTTAACACGATTTGTTAAAACACTGTTGTTTCTTTTGATGTGAAATATTATTTATTTAATTTAAATTAAAAGTTATGTTAATTTTGTTCAAAATGTGTTTAGTTAATTTAATAATATGTATTTTTGAATCAAGTATTCATCTTTATTGTCTTCATTGTTAGTTTCCACATGCCTAAAACAACCTCAAGCTAAATCTAAAAGTTGATGGCTAAATAAGAGCGTTTGAGAAATTGTGCAAGGCATACAGTAATAGTCCAAATAGTCGATTAATCGTTTCATTAATCGATAGCTTAATCGATTATCAAATTAGTCGTTTGTTGCAGCCCTACAGGAAACTGGGGATTTCATGATGCAACACTACTTGATTAGTTAGATAGATAGATAGGTATACTTTATTGATCCCAATTTGGGAAAGACTTTAGAAGAAAAGTCATGATAATTAATTAATCGTTAAAGTAATCGTCATGCAATTATGGATTCCCTACATTTTCTGTTTTAAATCACATTAAACTGAATATATATATTTTTGGGGGTTTTGAATTGCCAAAACAAGACTTTAATACAAATCTTTGAGAAACTGACTTGGAAAAAAATGAACAGATCATATAATAATGAAAATAATTGTTACTAGCAACACTAGTCATGATTAGCATCTTAAACCCCTTAGTGACCACGAAACGATCTAACAACCTTCCCCAAATGGATAATTGTTTGGCAGGTTATTACACACCAATACAATAAGTCTAAGAAATTATAAAGTTAGAAACTAAAGATATTGTTAAATATTGTTTTTATGTTGATTGTTTTTGTATGCTACATGGGATCCTAACTTCAGCAAGGGTTTGGATAGGGGAGACGTACAGCTTTAACTTAGTGAACCTAAGTGGGCGATCCTTGGACAAGTGCCATCAGGGAAAACATGTGTGTGTTTAGCTGTCCTGTCCCGTTAAGATAAATTATTTACGGAAGTCAGAGCAGCAGTGGGCGTCTAAACAAAGTAGTGCTCGTAATGTAGGAGAGACAGATGTGAGATAGGGATATCAGCCGCCTCAGAGTCAAGCGACATCCCACTGACCAAATGGAAATGTGTTTATAATCTGAAACTGAAGTGGAATATTTACTGAAAAATAAGTTGTGGACTGATATGAAATGTGCTTATAAGGTCAGGGTCACATACGCTTCATTTATGGACTATAGCTCGGGAAACGTATTGAATAATTAAGCTTTTTTCTTATTATATATCAACAAGTGATGAGAAATGTATTTTAAATGGTGCACAGCATTCAATGGAACCATGTCCAATTCACAAAAAAACGTTATAATGTATATATCTACTTCCACATACACTGATGTTTCAGCAGAAGTGAAAGTGACTTGGCTCTCAGTGCCTGCAGTTGACTTAAAACAGGTTTCAGTTCCCTGTTTGCCCATTGTTACAGTCAAGTAAGACTTGGGCACGATATTTACACTGCGGTGTCCGGGGACACACCGCACTATAGTGTGCCGTCAGCCCCACCAGGATCCTTGGTGTATTTACTGAAGGAATAAACAAAGGATGTTCAAGGACTTGCCATCCCACACGTCTTCAAGAGCTGCAATCCATACCCTCGCCGTGGGATGTTGTGTTTAGATACTATCACATTCTGGCGAGCTTGGCCTCTCTCATAAAGTTCAGGTGCTCTTATTTAGCCATCAGTCTCTTTGTTTGCCTTTCTGTATTTGTCATTCCATATCATCCACCGTCATGCTTCTGTCCGTCTTCTGCACCTCCTCCTTTGTAAATATGTGTAAGACACTATAGAAAATACGGCATCCCATAAAGACAATATCCATTTGTTATTTAACATGCAAAGATAAACTAAGCCAATACTTACTTTTGCAAAGATACGCGCCCTCTCACTGTACAGTGTGTGCCCTTTAGAAGTAGTGCTAGTGTCGGATGTTACAGGGACTTTGTTAAATGCAAGTATCCTTTTTGTAATCAGATTCTATGCAAATAGAAGATGCTTTGACAGTTTTCCTAAACGTGTTTTTGTTTAGTCAATCTACAGTCAATAGAAACGTTATACAAATAACATAATGATATGATGACATATTTGACTGCTAATCTACCCATATGTAAACAGTATCTGAAATTATTTCCACATTGACAATCTACACAATTAGAATGCTTTTACAAAAACAGAATAGTATAATAACGTATAAAGTAAGACTAAGTTATTTCGATACTTTAAAGGTGGGGTAGGTAATTCACTTTAGAAACACTTTTTGTTGTGTTCCATGGAATGCTCTTAACATCCCGATAGCAATGAATACATTAAATGCTTTGACAATAAATACATAAAAAAATCTGTGGAAGCCGTGGCACTGTAAAAAGCACAACCAATCATCTGAGCCGGCCCGGCTAAAATAACTGGATGGCCTACCTGCCTGTCAGCCTTCCATCTGTGCACAAACTTATCTCGTGCCCGGGCGTTTGTGTGTGTTGGAGGAGGGGCTCTGTAAGGAAGTCTGAAGGAAGGGGCAGATTTTTTCCGGCTGCGTAGTTTCAAATTGTAGCGCACTCGAGCTGGTTTCTCCATTCTTACCTACCCTACCTTTAAGTAGTAGGCCTACATTGTAAGTACAATTTTAGGAGTGGACAAAATGAACACAGTTATCTGATATTAGGCATTTGATAACTGTGATTGCTATTAATTGATTATGAAATTAACTGGCGCAGACTTACTTGAGACTTAAAATGCAGCTATGTCTGCTTATGACCCCTCGTTACACGTTATAAATATCGCTGAGTGCTGGCAACCATATCTTATCTATTATATCCAGTAATTTAATATCAATAATCAGAGATTTTACTTCATTTTGGTGTACGAGAAATATATATGTCTTTGTTTTGCTTTCTTGTTCATATCAGAACTTTTCAGATTGTCACTGCGCTTGTGTTCACTATACTTCCCAGCTTTCCTAAAGTCCAACCCATGTCCCCTCTTCCTCTTCTGTAGTTTGAGAGCCTGAGTCGTGTTGCAGAGTGTCTCTTCTCCCTGTTGAACGGCGACGACATGTTCACCACCTTCGCCCAGCTGAAGGACAAGAACTCTCTGGTGTGGCTATTCAGCCGAGCGTACCTCTACTCCTTCATCTCCCTGTTCATCTACATGGTGCTGTCGCTCTTCATCGCCCTCATCACCGACTCCTACGAGACCATCAAGGTGCTTTGGTTTTGGTGAAAAATGCGGCACTCTATTAATTCAACATGGAATCTCTTTACAACTCCTGAATTGCCCCACAGGGATTAATCTTATCTTAACTCCAAAGGGTGTTCAGTAACAGGAAAGTTGTAAGAAATATTTCTATTAACATCATAATGTAGCCTAGGGCTGCACGACATTGGAAAAAACTGACATTGCGATTTTTTCCCCCACTGCGATATATATTGCGATATGAAAACATACAGGAATTGAAGAAAATACCGTTTTTTCCCCCGCAAACCATCCTTTCTTGAACTTTAATGCTATACAATTGTTTTTAAAAAAAAAAATATTTAACCGGGTGAAGGATTTTAGTCATGGACGTCTGGATCTTAAGTTATCAGAGCAACAAGCTGAGCTAGCTCGGTTAGCAGCGCCAAACTGCCCTGGAGAAACACATGAAACTACTTTATTCAGTGTTTTTACCTTTAATCACCGGGTCCGTTTGCTTTGGAGATTTGATTGTGATTGGTGGTTTCCTGTCACTCACTCAAGTACCCCTGACATGAGAGCCGCACAAGTTTTCCTTTTGTAGCAAGCAGCAAAATAATTGTAACATGACGTGTTTGAGTTAATTTGCCTACTTAATATCGCAAGTCCTAAAAAATAAAAATAAATAAACGATGTGAATATCGCGATTATCGTCACGACACGATATATCGTGCAGCCTTAAAGGTGGGGTAGGTAAGTTTGAGAAACCGGCTCGAGATCGCTAGAATTTGAAAATACACAACCGGAGAAAATCTGCCACTTCCTTACAGAGCCCCTCCTCCAACACACACGAACGCGCACATGACCAATGAGGGCACGAGATAAGTTTGTGCCCCGATGGGAGGCTGACAGGCAGGTAGGCCATCCAGTTACTTTAGCCGGGCCGGCTAAAATAATTGGTCGTGCTTTTTACAGTACCATGGCTTCCACTGATGACATTTTTTTATGGATTTTTTGTCAAAGCACTTAAGATATTCATTGCTATCGGGATGTTAAGAGCATTCCATGGAATATAACAAAAAGTGTATCTCGAGCCGGTTTCTCAAATGTACCTACCCCACCTTTTAATGTAGCCTGTAAAAAAACAAAACAATGCACTTATAGCTGAACACTTATTTGATTAGTTTAAGATTAATAGTTTTAAAAAAAAAATGTATTCAAAGAAAAATGTCTGAAATCTCCCATGTAACAATTGCGTACAAAATGTTTCTTGACTAACATTTCTTTTTTTATCTTCTTAATGATGCATTCTTTAAATAGTCTTGATTTACTTAAATGTAGTTTGAAAAAAAATCTGCTTCTATGCAATTTTGAATGCATTGTGTATTCACTATTTGCATTTCTTTGTGTTTTCACCCACAGAGCTTTCAAAAGAACGGGTTCCCATTGACGGACCTGCAGAAGTTCCTCAGAGAGCAGAAAGATGTTCCTGTTTCAGAGGAGAGCAGTCAGACAGACGTTCATGTCCAAAATTCAGCCTTCTGCTGCTGCCGAAGGTATGATACTGTTTGAACTCATTAGTAAGCTGTCCCAGTATTTACTCTTCATTCACACACTCTGCTGCACACCTGTATTCACATCTGGAAGCTAAACTGTGCAAACATGACACCACATCACTAACACATGAGCGATTTTTTTGTTTTAAATGCCTTGCTCAAGGTGTCTTTTTCCTCTTGTGTTGTTATATATTAGAAGATTACTTGGGGTTTAATCTGACAACCTGCTCTGTAAATTCTCCCTTAAGGATTTTGTCCTGTCAAACAAGAGTTTTGTTTCTAAATTATTATAACTTTTATTTATTTGATCTGTTTTCAAAAGTGTTTCCCTGTTGTTATTACCCACTGCTGGAAACATTTCAAATCTGTCCAATTCATTATTGGATATTGAAGTGAAAGATGTACTGCTGCAAATAATCATTATTATTTTTTGATCATTAAAGATTGACAATCATATTTTCCAGTCCAATGTCATGTCCAAAACCCAAAGACATTCAGTCAAATAAACTGGGGGAAAAAGAGAAGAACAACAGATCCTCTTGGTTTGGGAAGCTGCATCTATTGTTTGTCATGAGTCAATATTCATTATCAAAAGAGTTTGCTCCTTTCAATTAACTAATTATAATCCACTGATGTGTTTCTATTTCAGTAAGTCACTCTAAAGAAATGTGGAGGCATTACACATATGGTAACATTTCTGATTTGTTTGCTTTGCTAACAACTTGTTGCTACAGCAAGGCATCGTACTTGTCTATATGTCCTCGTTTTCTGCTCATTCCTTTTCTATGATCCAATCTCTATCATCAGCAGGCAGCAGACTGGCGTTTCCTCCACGCTGGGGTTTGGCTCGGGCTGACGTGGTCTGAGAGCAATGAAATTAGTGGTGGGAGCTATGCAGACACACCCAGTGATGGGCTGATTACAGAGAAACTGAGTCTGTGCACTGGGAAGAACCCCCCTCACCCCCCCCCCCTCTTCCCCCCTCACCCCCCCTCCCTCTCACCCCCTCTAGCCATCCTTACTGTTTTGCCTCCCACATAAACAGGCCACGGTCAACACTCAGTTGAGACTCAACCAATCGAAGCAGAGTAGTTTTGTTAAAGAACTGTGGTTAGTTGAGAGCAATTGGATTAGACTGTGATGCTTGAGTTGTCTTTAGATTTGCAATATAGTATTTTGTGATGGCTCTGGTGTGCGTGTCTGTGTGGTTTTAATTTGAAGAAAGATGTGAAAGCGCATTCGTCATCACTTCTTATTCTCCTTTTGTAATCAGAGCACGTTTCTTAAAAGTATTTCCTAACATGTCTGGATATTTCTCCATGTCCATTTAGAAGCTGTGGCATTAAATGTACACGCAACGTGACGCTTGTTGAATAGTCTTCGCTTCCTCTTTAACCTGTCTGTTGCTACAAAGATTACAAGTGAAAAAGATCAAACAGCACGTAATCAGACTGCGGTGTCTTGGTTGGACTTTGGTTCTGCATTTATTTGATTTTATTCGTAAAATGAATGTTAGCTTTCAGGGAAACGCTTAACTGTAACAGACAAAAGGCTATCATTCTTCTTTTACATCTCTTCTCCATTATTCTCTATTTCTTAACTTATGGTAAAAATACATTTACAAAAAAGCTACTGTAATGATTTGTACAGCATCCTGATTGTTAAGCTACTATTTTTTTCTGCAAATCAGAGCCACAAATGTTTGAAAAATATGTTAAATGATGTAATGAGTGGAAAATAACTGAAAAATATTTTTTTCACTTTTTCTTTGCCTTTTCTTAGTCTGTTATGTCACTTTCAGTGCTCTTCCATCATTATTGTTTTGTTAGACAATGCAATCTATCCTGCATGCTTTCCGGCAGTGTTTAGGAAGTTAAGTCTAAGTTACAAGGCCATTACAATTGTGCAAGTAATGCAAGACGGACAATTGAACATGTATCTTGTCTGTGGAGATAAAGCAGCCAGTGGCCTTTTTAGAGGTCGCTGACTTAAAGGAACATTAAGGGCTAATCTTGTCAAGTTACACAGATTCTGTAAGTGCAGTCATTTGCAGCCTCTAAACTGACCAAATGTCATTATTATTTGCATCTTTGTCTCTCAGTGCTTACCAAAATTAGATCAGCGTTCTCAGCTAACATGTTAATGTCTTACTGGATGAAATTTCATCTACACGTACTTACTGTTATCTTCATCTACAACAAGTGATCTTGTTAGGAAAGCAAGTTGAGGAGCAAGAGTCCCCCTTTAGTTGGATTCAAAACTTTTTTTTATTTGGGATATATATAAAGCAAGCTAATCAGTGAAATAATATATTGAGGCTCAAGACTCTTGTGAATGAAATCTAAAGTTATATCCTTGTCGCTACCTGTCATCATAACAAACACTGAAATGGCTAGTCAAATCTGCACACAAATATTCTCCTGATCTATGTCCTGAATGCATCTGCTTCAGTTTATCTCATGTTGGCATGTTACAGCAAAGAGTAGATATTATGTGTGACTAAGGTAGTGCAATGATGTGCATGGAAGTATAGAGTAGCAAAGAGTCAGCTTCGCTTTCCAAGGGTAGGATTAAACATTTATCTGTGAAATACATTCACATCTGCATCAGTTTGTGATATACTGAGTCTGAGACTTGGTCCGCTAACTAAGCAGTACAATGTGCTGTTTATGGCAGATCATAAAGATGAAGGCAAAAACATGTCTAATCGTTTGCAGATTTGATAAAGAAGAGACATGTTTACTGCCTTGAAAGCAAAAACACAAGATAATGTTTTGAACTTAATGCTGAAAAGACTGTCGTTTTCAAGTGACAAGTGCGTGTTTTGGGGGATTTATTCTCAGAATGGGTAAAATCACCAAAGACCATAAAGGTCATTTGTACTTGTAGTTGCTCCTATTGACCAAAACCGTAGAACTATGAGGTTTTTCTAAGAATTTACCCTTTTTAGTTAAGAATAGATCCTAAGTTATTCACACAGCATCTTAGACCTTGAGAGTTACGATTATGAAACACCTCCTGTCTTTTAAAGTCTCTCTTCCTACTTTTCTCTGTGTTGCTCTCAGGATTAACCTTAACTGAGATTAGTTAAGACTAGGTTGAGAGTAGTCCCAGTTTATTTTTGATTACGGCCCCAGAAATCCAGACCTTATCCTGCATCTTTTTGTTGTGTCTCAGTGAGTCAGGGGCAAACCTGTATAAAGGTGGAAGCCCAGAGAATAAAGAGCAGTTGTTGTGCTGGTATGAATCATAGGAGTAACCTGTGATAATCTGTATCTGGGTTATCACAACAACACCTTAATAATGTAGCAACAGTTATTTTCACCAGTCTGAACAAGCAGATGTGGGTCTGAATTTAACTTCCTCCTGACGTTTATTTGTGATGTAACACTTAAATATTTCATTTCAATGTCCCAATAGTGTAACTCTTAAAAAACCAAAACAACTCTTCTTAGATATTTGATGAAATGAAGCACTCGTATTACCAAAAATGACCACGTACTTTGGTGTTGATTAGACATTTGAAGTCTCATTCTTCTTTTGGTATGTTGTATTTGCAGAGTTCCTGAAGGTGATGATGTCGTACTGATCAGCTGACAGCTGTCCAACCTCCCGGAGGACACGGATCACACAGGAGGAGGATGCTGGGAACAGGACGTCTGAAACGGACTTCTACATCAACAATCCCATTGCAAAATCCTTGAAGATTGTAGAGTTACTGATTCTGTGAAGTGCAATATCAAACGCCTAACGAGTTCCATCTCTTTAACATGAAACTGGAGCTGGAGCTTCAGAGCTGGAACTTGTAACAATAAGGTTTCATAACAGTATCTGTTGAAGTTCAGGATGCTGTTGAGAAGTTTACTGGACGTTTTGTAGGTCTGTTCATGCATTTAGTACTGGATTCAGTGTTTTCTGAACCAAACTGTGGCTGCAACTCTGGAGCTAAGCAACGAGATGCATTGATGTTTGTAATTTATTTGTCATGTGTTGGAGTAAAGATTGCAGTAAAGCTTCTCTTTTCATTTGTCCATTGGTAGATTATGAATGCAGTCTTTGCTGTTAGTTTGCACATTCAGCTTCTTTAAAAAAACAAGTATAATATGAGCAAAGACAGGACATCAAATGTAATTGAATTACTTACATGGTCAATATAATATCAGAAGTTATGGGAACTTGATATAAAATATTAACAACATTACAGTTCAACAAATGCATTCCATGCTTAGAAATGTATTAGGTTCTTTAAATATTTCTTTAAATTGCATAAGATTCACAGCTGAGATTGAGGAAGACGGGGTGTTTTAAATGACTAAACCAGGACTACAGTATGAGTCAGTTTTATAAGCAAATCTATGAGCAAGTTTAGATGTCAAGACAAGCTCCAGCATGACTTCATCTCACTTTGAGTGTGAGTAATGTGTTTTTTACTTGATGAAATCAAAGGTAATTATCTAAACTTCTACAAAGTGATCAATACAATTCAAGGAAATGCCTCCAACAAAGACCTCTGTCGCCAACCGGGGTGCTTCTTGATTTCAACTAAAACATCCCTTGATTAATTTCAGCCTGTGTTTTTCCTATGAGACAATAATGCCCTTAAGTCACATTTGATTAATCTAGCAAAGACAAGGCCAGGATATTCACCCTTAAGGATTTCCTTTCAACAGATCTGGCTGTTTGATTTGGGTTAACAACCACATGGTTGCTTTTCAACACAACATGAGTAAAGTACAAATGTCAACATGCGTGTGTGCTTTCTTAAACAAAACAGGCAGATTTGTGGAAAATAGGAGTGAGCGCTGCTTTAAACACAGCAATGATTTTGGATTTACATTATGAACAGATGTGCAGGTCTAAACACCATACAAGCAATTTAAAGGGCAATCTACCTATTTTGTAATTTCAAACTATGTTTATCAGGAAGGTTCAGTATGTTTGTGAATTGAACTAAATACTATTTTTCAGTTATAGGAATAAGTATGAATATCCTTTTATAACATCATAAAAATCCGATGTAAGTAAGACGATATCCACTAAGAGGTATTATCAGCAATATGTACTGAAAGTAAAATAACTCTTACAGATAAAAACAGCTCCTGTGTGACTGACATTATATATATTATATTAATAGAAATACAAAGCAGGCCTATGATGTTTCTGTTGTGATGGAGCTAACTGGCCTACTTTACATAGAGTGGTCGGCCCTTTCACTGGTCCTCCGTTTGATGAAGAAGGGTGATGATTAGTGGCATACAAATAATGGGGAAAAACAACATTTTTCTCGAAGCATAACGTTTTTGTCAAATATTGCAACAATATATTTGTTTTGGCTATAGGCTATAGCCAACCAAACCATAATCTACTTTGATTTAAAGGCCCAAGCCCAACAAATGGGTATCACTTGTTTTAATTTATCAATGTGTTAGTGTGGGGTTAGTTTGATCTTGTTATGTAAAGCTTTCAAGTAGCCTAATGTTTCTAGAGTAAAACGTAGTTTGTTCCCCAAAAAATTTAGTGTAGCCTACTTAGATAGCATAAAATGGGGAACAAATTATAATTAATTATTAAAGCACAGACGGGGATCAAACACGTGCCTCTCCAAGTGAGCTTAACAGTATGGGGTTCAATACATAGCGTAGTAAAAATGTAAGTATAGCATATTTAAAGTGTATTACATTTGAGAAAAGAAGGAAGGCATACGAACAAGCCAGAGTTTGGTAACACTTCACTGCAGCAACCAGCAGTGTTGATCGGACGGTGAGCTCGCGGGGCTGTGTGCGGTCACCTGGGGGAATTCGCATGTCAGCCTGGCGACACGCCCTCTACGTCACAGAGCTGCAGCCTGGGGAGTGAAGACGCTCCGCTCCACTTCGCTCCTTCACTTCGTCCTCTCGCTGCCTGCTGTCACCTCCCTCCGTCCACATCTGCAGACAGGCGCACTGCTGCGGGGGAAACATGTTCAGTCACTTGGCACGGAAGATTTCGCAACTTGTAGTCTACTGACTCTCCACGGACAGCCCTTCAGCTCAGGTAAACTCACCTGGTTCAGACTTCCAGGTAACTTTTTGTTCTTCTACGTTGTTGTCTGTGTGCAAAATGATTTGTTTCGTCTGTTTTATTGTATGTTTTCTGCAAGAACTTGTTTCTCTATTCTATTACTTCCTGAGGGAATTGCTTCTCTCCCCCCCCCCCCCCTTCTTCGCTGTTGTTGGTACACCAAGTTGTACAGGTATCAGTAAAGTTAATTGCATAATACAGGCTTCTCAGGTCAGGAAGGAAACTGTACTTTAGCCTGTGTTGCGTTGGATTATTGTTTTGTTCCATGTCGGTAGTGTTAAATAAATGTTTGAACAGGTAGAACATGCGGATTGACGTAACAGACATTTGTTACTCAGGTCACATCAATGAGCCTGTTTTGTCTTTTTATTGTAACTATGGTCACTATCTTGTTCAACTTCATGGAGCTTACTTTGATATCAGTTTTATTCAAAGCAGCTTCTCACAGTAAGCTTTTAGCATGTCTTAGGAATTGAGTCAATAAATCTCTTTTGGCCTTGGGAGAAATGGCACTGATCTCGCATATAAAGCATTACACTTTGTATCTCTGATATCAGATTTAAATGGACAAAACTGGTTTTGAAATGCATACAAGGAATTTATAGATCCAGTTTTTCAGATATTCTCAAATTTAGGGCAGCTTTTTTATGTTCGTTTAACAATTATGAATATTTTGGTCTGTAAAGTGTTGGAAAACAGTCAACTTTATAACTTTTTTTAATTCTAATTTCAAGGAAACAAGGCTGATTCCTCCAAATGTCAACTGTCTGAAACCTAAAGCTAATCTTATCACTATTATAAGACAACAAAAATGTTCCTCTACTTTAATGCACAAGTTATTGAAAAAGTCCTATGTTTTCTCCCTGTCTTTCTGCAGACTCACCTCTAAAATGGCCCAGCAGAATCAAACCTGTCATTATAATGAGTCTATGAGCTTCTTCTATAACAACAGTGGTGCCTCAGACACTTGGGACAAAACGCAGCTCATCCTGGTGAGAGTGGTGGGCTCTATCTTCTGCTGCTTCATCCTGGTCTCCAACTCCATGGTCGTAGCTGCTGTCATCACCAATAAGAGGTTCCACTACCCTTTCTACTATCTTCTATCCAACCTCGCCGCCTCGGACTTCCTGGCGGGCATAGCGTACGTGTACCTGATGTTTAACACAGGGGAGTCGTCAAGGACACTCACAGTTAAGGAATACTTCATCCGCCAAGGTCTTCTGGACGTCAGTCTCTCCGCATCGCTGTCTAACCTGCTGGTGATAGCTCTGGAGCGCTACATCTCCGTCATGAACTGGAAAGTCCACAGCAACCTGACGAAGAGGAGGGTGACCCTGCTGATCGTACTGGTGTGGGCCATTTCCATCTTTATGGGCGCTGTGCCGAGTCTAGGCTGGAACTGCATCTGCAACATCAACGACTGCTCCAGTCTGGCTCCCATCTTCAGCAGGAGCTACCTGATCTTCTGGTCTGTGTCCAACCTGGTGGTGTTCCTGGTGATGGTGGTCATCTACACCAGGATTTACACCTACGTCAAGAGGAAGACGGCAATGCTCACGCCGCACACCAGCGGCTCCATCAACCGCAAGAGGACTCCCATCAAGCTCATCAAGACGGTCATGGTTGTGCTGGGTAGGTGCTCATCATAAAAATGTTGTCTGTGCACCATCTTTAATGCAGTGAGTCAGAACATTTCCCACATTAGTCAGGTTGTTTTGCTGTACAGCTGTGTGTCACTTGTCACAAAGTCCAGGCAGTCTCTGTTATCTATGTTTTTCTGATATGAAGGAAAACCTTGAGCATTCCAAAAAAAAACACTTTCAGTAATCATGTTGAGAGCTTGTCAGTGACTTGAGGGAGCCGTATATGAAAGCAAATGAGGAGTCGTAATGTTTATTTTATTTTTCTTGATCTTAGGTTATTTGCTACTTTATAGAGTTTTTAGGGCTTAAAACCATAACTCATTATTTGTTGTTGACTTATTTTCTTAATAGACCAATCATTCAGTCTTTAAAATATGAAAATATAGTAGATGTCCCTGGCATATGCTATACAATACCGATGTATCTGTAATCCACTTTAAAGACCAACGTTCTGTACAGAGAAAGAAAAAAAAGAGCTTGGAAAGTCCAACTAATATTCAATAACCAAAGATATTCCCTTTTTTAAAGTATGTAAAACAGGAAAAATAAGCAATTCCTCACTTTTGAGAAGCTCAAACACGAGAATGTTTGGCATTTGTGTGTCATGAATTCCTTGTTGCAGCACTACTATGTCCTTTCCCAGATTTAAGAAGGCTTAAAAATGCTGCTTCCCCCTCTTATCATGCATTTTCACCCTAGATGAGGGAGCTAGATATGCTGGTCCGACTCTCTTTGTGTATGTGTTGCAACAGGACACCTTAAGTGTACTCAAATCCTTCCCCTTAGCACTTTCCTTTCATAACAGAACAATACAATATATTTTACTTAAGCGTCACAATAAGCTGTTAAATGCATATTCTCATGCAAGTATAACACACAGTGTACACATTTGAAACAGATATATTTCAGAAAGCACTGCAGGTCAGAGTAGTTCTCTCTTCCTACAAACATGCATGAGATAGTTGTAGGGGTTTTGCACAGTCGCCCTGTAGAATAAAAGTCTGTTTATTCTTCTTTGTGTCTTTGGGGCACTCGGCTTGTTGCCTGTCCAGATAGTTTGATACAGTTTTTAGCATACGAGCTGTCTGCCTCTGTACACTCTTTATTCCAGACTGCTATGTAATTATCTCTCCCTGCAAGGACACTGCTCCTCAGCCTGTGTGGCGAACCATCCACACCACACTGGCCTTCAATGAAGCGTCCCCTCCTCCACACCCTTCTGAAAAAAAAGCAAGAAGAAGAACCTATACTTGAGGACTTTTCCAATTGCTTTCAGATGCTTTGCAGATTTTCCTTAAGTTTGTGGAAGTGTAACCACACAAGTGTCATTGTTAAAATCCCCGTTGAGGTTGCTTTGACTTCAGGGTTAAATGTAAAAAAAAAAGCCCTCTTGGAATGGGCGGTGCAGATAACAATAACACACCAGGGATATCTGAGGGAGAAAATAATGAAACCTTAAGACCTCTGAGGTATTCAGTACAATCTGGGTCCCTGGGGTTTATTATTCAGGGACACAAATATAACTTGTTCCAGATAAGCAGTCTGAGCAGTCTGCTCAATTGGAACTGGAAACTGGACAAACCAGTTTGGAAACGCTTAACCCACACATTATGGCAAGAGTAAAATGATTGAGTGTCTAAGCGTTGAATAAGGATACAGTGGGACATTGAACTAATTCATTCATGTTAATATGCACTTATAATTAAGGAACCTAATAATTACTTATTAGTTTTCTTATTTACATTTGAACTTTACTCTTCATTGCCTTAGTTTGGAGAAAAAGATTATCCTTGTAATTGAATAACCTACAGTCATTTATTCCTGGTATATTTGGGACTGTTGTGGCTTGCTTGTTAAGTGAAGCATCAAACAACTCGTGCAGATTTAGTTTTCATTCTTTAAGTGCAACCACCATCACGAAATTAGTGCCAACAGAGAAAAGGAACACATGCTTGAAATGTGTGTTTCTAAAACCCCGCTGTTTTTTTCCCTCTGTTGTAGATTAAAAGAAAAGACAGTCCGTTTTTAAACTTCAGTAGAGGAACAACTGCCAATGAAAGACCATTAAGTTGGGTCTCACCCAATTTAATTTCAGTTCACTTTATTTTGGACATGTGGGCCATCAAAGACAAAGAAAAGAGGAAGAAAAACGAGTTTAAGAATAGAAATTCACTGTAAAAGTGTGGCCAATTTTTTACTTTCAGGACTAAGTGCAGTGGAAAAACATAAAAGCACTTCTGCCCGAGCCTTTCAGTCTGTGTGCACGTGTGTTCCCGCCTGTGTGTGGGAGACAAAGAGGGTGCTGTATAGAGCACCTCTTGTTTTGTTCTGCAGATGTGTTGAAGCGGTAGAGATGCAGGTAGTGCAGACAAGTTGCTACTTGTAGGTTTGTTTCACTTCCCAGACACTTTTGGTAGATCTGTTTTGTGCCCAAACGTGTTTGAAATTTGAGTTCTAATTGGCTGCTTCAGTACCCATGTGACCTAACATGTTGTTTGTGTTACCAAACACACAGCACTAAGTATTAAAATAGTAAGGGCATTGTACTGCCAACCTGCCTCTGCTTGTTGTTATGGTATTAGGATGGCTCTTCTCTGCTAAAATGTGAAGTACCTGAATAACTTTATGCATTAGCTTTTTAACGCCCTTCCTGTTGACCAGCTCACAAAATTGTGAAAATAATTGTGTTACTTTAACGGAACTAAAGTTGAAGCAATTACTGGTTGCTTATTAGATTATGACTCATCAATGTTATTGGCAACAATTTACACAGGAGATGTTTTTTTTTAAATAATTGTAACATGCCAAAATGGTCAGGTTCCAGGTTTTCTAATGCGGTTATTTGCTGCATTAGAAATGTAATATCATCGGGTTTTGGACAGGTTATCGTAGCTTAGGCAAACAAAACCTTCAAGTACAGATAAATCCATTATAAGAATAATTATTGATAGCAGCCTTAATTCAAATTTACCCCAAAGTAAGGCATATTATCTCCATCATCATAACTGTGTTTCCTGGTTTACGCTTCCAGTTGAATGTTCACTACTGACGCAAGAGTGCAGTGAACATGGACATCTCGTAAAAGGATTTTAAGTGGTTACTCAGGATTGTCAATGTCTGTCTAAGGATCTGTAAATATCTCTAATTAGTGCACATAAGAAGGATACAAGAGAGAAATAAGTGCTACAAATACCTAACTGTATACCTAAATACCTAACATTTTTGTATTTTTCTCTTTGAAGGGGCCTTTGTGATCTGCTGGACTCCCGGCCTGGTGGTTCTGCTGCTGGACGGACTCAACTGCACGGGTTGTAACGTCACAAAAACAAAACGCTGGCTGCTATTGCTGGCTGTACTCAACTCTGTCATGAACCCTTGCATCTACTCCTACAAGGACGAGGAAATGTGGACAACCTTCAAGAACCTCATGCGCTGCATTGGCAACGGCACGCGGCGGCAGCGGTCGACGAAGGCCAACGCCAGGGCTCTCAGCTCGGGTCAGGATACGGGCAACAGTCAGCCTCCATCGGAGGAGACAAAAACTGACGATCAGGGCATTCTCAAGACCTGAAAATGGAGCTTGACATGAATTAACCAGGACTTCTGTTTAGTCAAACGACTGGACGTACTGTATGAAGAAGATTCAGATTGGAGTTGACTTGAAACCATAACAGTTGGCCTCAGATAAAAATGACTTTCTTGAAGTGACACTGCAGGCCCACTGCTCCAGTGTACTGTAGATCTTCAGAGACGGAGATAAGAAGAGGCTTCCATGCACTACGAATTCCTGAAATGGATGCAAAGACGTGCTTTTCCATTTTTTTTTCTGGATTTTACAGTTTTTGGACATATACCTCCAATTCATGTGCTTTGGGAGATTCTTGTAGCTTTGAACTGCTCTGCAATGGCTGAAGAAAGTAAAAAGTACACCGTGATACATTTCTACTTGCAAAGGGTAACTTAGCTTTCACATGTGTAAATCTGATGACTTAAAGTTTCAACCTGTGTCACCTTTCACAAAGCTGTAATAGATGATCTAGTTGAGACGTGTTTTAAGACATGTTTGTAGACAGGTACTATACAACTTTAGGGTGGCTTAGGAAGTGCACCATTTTATAGTTTATTATTACTGAAAACACAGCCTGCGTATATATACTGCTGTACCATATGTATCTACCTGTACATCTTTTTAAATACTTTCAACAAGAGGTGCAGTAATTCCAACTGAACGACAGCCGGCATGATTAGCATGCTCAGCATGGTCTAATTATTTTGTCCTTTGAAATGTAAAGTCTAGAAAAGCACACCCTGTTTTCTGTTGTAAAGCTGGTTTGGCTGTTGGCAATAGATAACAAAGTGACTATTTTCTTGTGCTAGCCTTCATTATCAGTTCACCTTAACAAACAGATAAACTCTTGCCTAAAGCACATCATGAAGGCAAACTTGTTCTCCCCGTAGCATTTTAACACATTAGCTTCAACTAACCGCTGCTCACCTGTAGCGCAGGATTGTAAAATGATGTTGCAACACACTGGATTCCTGCTGGAGTTTCAGCAATACCCTGCAGGAACCAAACAGGATATGACTGAATGGACTACACTCACACAAACCTCCCTCTCTACAGACTGCGCTGACGTCTCTATTGCTGACAGGGTTCAAATGGCTTCTTCAACCTGCTGTACAGGCCTATGCCCCTCCTGTGGTAGCATCATGATATCATTAAGGAGTGTAGGAATACAACATGTGAGTGGTGATTGGAAAAACAGCTCCGGTGGTGTTTCTTTTTCGGAACAACATTTTAGATGGCCGTACCTTTGCATATGAAAATACAATTATTTTTTTTATAAGTAACCTCTTTTTGAGCTCATGTTATTTTTTCCAACATACCAATGGACATGACATGTCATGATATGATACGGAAACAGCAAGCAGCACAGTGGCTGATGTCACCAAAGGGATTCAAACTTTATTATTCTTTCACACACACATACAGGTTTTGGGCCGAGGGCGACACCGTACTTCCGGTATCCGCCATTTCACACGAGGTGCAAGCAGAATATCATAGTCGACCGAAGGCCACTTTCGAGAGTCGTTTTTCCATACATCTGCAGGCAGTCTGTAAGGGCAATCGGACAACCCACACAGCTCTAGTTTACGCTGGTAATGACCAAGAGCACACCCCTCAAGTCCAGAGATGTAATCCGAAGACATGCAGCGATTTCTTCGGTCGTTAATTCAGAAAAAAAACCTAGTGCGCTCTGCCTGGCTACGTTACCTAGCTGTTTATATTAGCACCTCCAGGATATTAGCACCTCCATGAAAATGACGTATTTATATATATATATATATATATGGCGCGCGTTGCATTGTGGGTAGCTCGTGACGTCACTGTGTGTGAAAGAATAGTAATGGGGTATCATTTTCACTAGTATTTATAGGAACCTTTTAATATGAACATCCGTCAAATTACCGAAAGTGGTTCCAATTATATTTTTTATAAAAATGATTTACAATCTTATAGAGAATGTGAATGTGGCTGTGTATTTTCAAATTCTAGCGCAGTCGAGCTGGTTTCTCCAAAATTACCTACCCCACCTTTTAATAATGCATTTTCTGGCATTATCTTCAATTTTGCCCATGCTAGCAGCAATTTTAGGTAGCTTGATTTTGAAATGCTAAAGCCAAGGTAGCATTACTTTTTAAACTGTTAACAATCGGGTATCTATTGCTGTTGCAGGATTTATTAATTCACATACAATTATAGGATGGCCAACCCATCTGCCCTGCCCGAGCATTCATTGCTCATCACCAGTATTCCTCAAGCTGCTTACTTGATAGCTGTGATGTACTCCTAGTCCTAACAATAGCCATGTTAGTTGTTTATGTTTGTAGTGAAGATTTAAGAGGCTTTTGAGTAACTTCAACTGAATGGGACTGGTATGCTCGGTATTTGGCCAACATTGCAACTTATTTTCTAGATTCAACGCGTTTTGGAGCTAGTGCTGCTAGCTATTTTCATTCACTGAAAATGCTAACGTTGTTGCCACCTGAGCATGTTAGCATGCTACACTGGCTGCAGCGTAAATGTTGCTAATACCACCTACCTGGCACCAACGTTAGCAAAACAAAACTGAGATTGCTTGTAAATCCTATTTGACTGAGGCAGACTGCCTTTTTAACTACATTAAATTCCCCACCGCTAAACTAAAGGCGGTTGTTGCATCTAGCCACTTAACTGTAAACTACATTTTATCTGACACTGACATAAAAGCTTCAAAATGCACGAGTGTGGTGCTTACCAACATATTTTATGTTGTGGAACACTAGGTTAAAAATATCTTAAACCTGTGTTAACCAAAGACCTTATCTCAGACATCTAACCAAAAACCCATTGACTTAAAGACAAGGGAACCGGAAGTGATAAGAATGCGGACTCATTTCTGGGTTATAGCACTCATCCCTGCAGCAATCTATGGTTGATGAAGTACCTTTACTTGAGATTTCTCAAGAGCTGCCACTTAAGGAGGATTTACTCCATTCAGGCCAATTAGTGGTTGACCTTTCGTTTCCAGTCTCTTATATTATTGTCGAAAGAACTGGAAAAAAATGTGATTGACTCAAAGGAACAAGATAACTCCTCTCAATTAGACTCCAAAACACTTGCAGTAAAAATAACCACTTGCTTATATATTTGTATCCTAATATAGTAAAGCTTTCTGTGATTGACAGTAAGCTGACACTGTTTGAATAATCTGTCAATGTCAACATTTAGAACTTTGTGAAATGCATTTTAACATTAAAACATAGTAAGTTATAAACTGCATATTATGTGCTTCAAGATGTAAACCACATATTGATTTCAAAGAGTGATGTTTAATATGGCATATTACATGTCAAATCTCCCCTCACTGTAGTCATTATGAAAGTATATTGTTCATAGGCTTTTAATCGTTTTAACTTCAAACCCACAGCCTTTTTTTCTCTGCTCTCATATATCAGGTTACCTGGTTTAACAAGATTTCTCATCGCATATTAAAACTCCTTTTATGCTCAGGATGAATCCGTGTATAGAACATATAACATTTTACAGTAAAGTACTCATGATGTTAAAGGTTTCAGGTTGAGCTATGATGTGATTAAAAGTAAGTAATTTCCATTCAAAACAATGCTGTATTATAGAGAGTATACTGTATTTCCTCTGGAGACCTGATGTGACTGCTTCGTACTTCTCTGGTTCTGCATTCCCAAAAAACATGAACTGTAAACTTGTGTGGTGTGGCAGGCCTTTTTTTCTTCTTCTTTTTTTTACAGCTGTGTTGTAATTATGCATTCTTGAAGAGCCAATTAAATTTCACAGATGTTCAGAAATGCTGTCTTTTGGTTTGGTCTTAATCTTAGGGCAAACAGATGTAGGCATAAAAGTAAAACGTTTAACCAGTACACAGAGGGTGTGCTGTTATATAAATAAACCCTGTGCCATAAAAGAGCAAGTCTCATAGAGGCATATAGTTCTAAGTTAAATCATGTATATAATTTACAGAATTTGGTTTCTCCTACAAAGTTCCCAGCTCAGTTTCAACTGAACACAATGATACATACAATAGTATACCTGAAGAATGGCTGCAAGGAGTTTGACACGTCTCAGACTGTCACAAGCAAGAGCTTCTTCTCTATGAGTCGCTTTCGAGTGCACAGTGATACCATGGAAAGAATACTTGAAACTGCTCACAGTCTTTGAAACAAACATTGGTATTGAGTTTTGTAAAAAAATATTTGCGGTATTAAGTGCCATCTCCTTCCATTATATTGGAGAGAAGGCAGACATCCATACGGCCGATATTTCCAACTTGGTAGCTCACACTTAAACAGTCTAGATTTAGAAATAGCACAACAGGAAAACATGATTAGAGTTGAACTGTCCCTTTAATGTCCTACAATCATGTCTACCAGGGTTGAATGTTCTAGCTAACAGTCAAGTTAATACAAAAAAAACACTTTCACTTGGTAAATAACACTAATTTGAAACAAGATACACTGAACAAAAATATAAATGCAACACTTTTGTTTTTGCTCCCCTTTTTCATGAGATGAACTCAAAGATCTAAAACATTTTCTATATACACAAAATAACCATTTCTCTCAAATATTGTTCACAAATCTGAAAAAATCTGTGATAGTGAGCACTTCTCCTTTGCTGAGATAATCCATCCCACCTCACAGGTGTCGCATATCAAGATGCTGATTAGACAGCATGATTATTGCACAGGTGTGCCTTAGGCTGGCCACAATAAAAGGCCACTCTGAAACGTGCATTTTTGCTTTATTGGGGGGGGGTCCGAAAACCAGTCAGTATCTGGGGTAGGGTTAGGGTTAGGGTAATGTTGTGAATCGAGTGGCCTGTGTTCGTCGTCCATAACAATACGCCTGCCCATACCATAACCCCACCACTGCCAAGAAAGGCTGGGTGGAGGGGGTCTGGAGGACGGGTGGAGGTGTGACCACCATTTGCCTCACGCAGTGCAACACATCTCCTTCGCATAGAGTTGATCAGGTTGTTGATTGTGGCCTGTGGAATGTTGGTCCACTCCTCTTCAATGGCTGTGCGAAGTTGCTGGATATTGGCAGGAACTGGAACACGCTGTCGTATACGCCGATCCAGAGCATCCCAAACATGCTCAATGGGTGAACATGCTGGATGTGGAGGTCCTGGGCTGGTGTGGTTACACGTGATCTGCGGTTGTGAGGCGGTTCAAATGTTCATTTTTATCACACAGCACAATGCCACAGATGTCGCAAGTTTTGAGGGAGCGTGCAATTGGCATGCTGACAGCAGGAATGTCCACCAGAGCTGTTGCCCGTGAATTGAATGTTCATTTCTCTACCATAAGCCGTCTCCAAAGGCGTTTCAGAGAATTTGGCAGTACATCCAACCGGCCTCACAACCGCAGACCACGTGTAACCACACCAGCCCAGGACCTCCACATCCAGCATGTTCACCTCCAAGATCATCTGAGACCAGCCACTCGGACAGCTGCTGCAACAATCGGTTTGCATAACCATAGAATTTCTGCAGAAACCGTCTCAGGGAAGCTCATCTGCATGCTCGTCCACCTCATCGGGGGCTCGACCTGACTCCGGTTCGTCGTCGGAACCGACTTGAGTGGGCAAATGCTCACATTCGATGGCGTCTGGCACGTTGGAGAGGTGTTCTCTTCACGGATGAATCCCGGTTTTCACTGTTCAGGGCAGATGGCAGACAGCGTGTGTGGCGTCGTGTGGGTGAGCGGTTTTCTGATGTCAATGTTGTGAATCGAGTGGCCCATGGTGGTGGTGGGGTTATGGTATGGGCAGGCGTATGTTATGGACGACGAACACAGGTGCATTTTATTGATGGCATTGTGAATGCACAGAGATACCGTGATGAGATCCTGAGGCCCATTGTTGTGCCATTCATCCACAACCATCACCTCATGTTGCAGCATGATAATGCACGGCCCCACGTTGCAAGGATCTGTACACAATTCCTGGAGGCTGAAAACATCCCAGTTCTTGCATGGCCAGCATACTCACCGGACATGTCACCCATTGAGCATGTTTGGGATGCTCTGGATCGGCGTATACGACAGCGTGTTCCAGTTCCTGCCAATATCCAGCAACTTCGCACAGCCATTGAAGAGGAGTGGACCAACATTCCACAGGCCACAATCAAAACCTGATCAACTCTATGCGAAGGAGATGTGTTGCACTGCGTGAGGCAAATGGTGGTCACACCAGATACTGACTGGTTTTTGGACCCCCCCAATAAAGCAAAACTGCACGTTTCAGAGTGGCCTTTTATTGTGGCCAGCCTAAGGCACACCTGTACAATAATCATGCAGTCTAATCAGCATCTTGATATGCCACACCTGTGAGGTGGGATGGATTATCTCGGCAAAGGAGAAGTGCTCACTATCACAGATTTTTTCAGATTTGTGAACAATATTTGAGAGAAATGGTTATTTTGTGTATATAGAATTTTTTTTAGATCTTTGAGTGGCTGGTCTCAGATGATCTTGGAGGTGAACATGCTGGATGTGGAGGTCCTGGGCTGGTGTGGTTACACGTGGTCTGCAGTTGTGAGGCTAGTTGGATGTACTGCCAAATTCTCTGAAACGCCTTTGGAGACGGCTTATGGTAGAGAAATGAACATTCAATTCACGGGCAACAGCTCTGGTGGACATTCCTGCTGTCAGCATGCCAATTGCATGCTCCCTCAAAACTTGCGACATCTGTGGCATTGTGCTGTGTGATAAAACTGAACATTTTAGAGTGGCCTTTTATTGTGGCCAGCCTAAAGCACACCTGTGCAATAATCATGCTGTCTAATCAGCATCTTGATATGCGACACCTGTGAGGTGGGATGGATTATCTCGGCAAAGGAGAAGTGCTCACTATCACAGATTTTTTCAGATTTGTGAACAATATTTGAGAGAAATGGTTATTTTGTGTATATAGAAAATGTTTTAGATCTTTGAGTTCATCTCATGAAAAATGGGAGCAAAAACAAAAGTGTTGCATTTATATTTTTGTTCAGTGTAGATGATGTAGTTACAACGTCAAACAACACCCTGGTGTTGAGTTCAGGTGCAGCAGTGAACTCTGAACGATTCTGACCTGTTGGATAGTGAAGGTGAGCTGAAGCACCTTCTGAACAAGAACATGATCAAACTGTGATTGGAGAGCCTCCTCTGCTGATTGGACAATTAGGGACAAGGCAGAGGGTGGGACTCGGGGGGAAAAAGGGTACATAAGCTGATACTTAAGATGATGCTAGACACACACACACACACACACACACGCACACACACACACACACACACACACACACACACACACACACACACACACACACACACACACACACACACACACACACACACACACACACACACACACACACACACACACACACACACACCACACACCCAAGCACCCAGTTGGTCATTCATTCGGTCAGTCAGTTCAGAGTGGGTCCAGCCACAACAGCAAACGTTCTCATGGCTCTACGGACAGCCACATCCTTTTACCTGTATTTCCTGCTGGTAAGTTCTCACATAGTAGAGGTTTACTAATTAATACACTACAACAGATTCAATTGCAGAGAAGAAATGTGGACATATTGCCACAGATATTTAAGGGTTAACAGTTAATGGACAGCACAATGAAGTGAAATGAGGGCAGGAGTGATCCATTTTTCTGTATTTACACAGAGAAAGGAATATAAACTACGGTGTAAACCAAGTGTGCGATTTTCCCATGTTCATTTATAGCTGAGGTTCCCCCCTTGCTTTTGTTGTGTTGTCAGAAACACTTGTTGCTGCAGGCATGTGGTCATGGGTTTGTGGCGTTTCTGTGTATTGCTTCGTCAGCTTCTTGTGGGACTGATTTTCTTGATTATAAATCATACTGTAATCTCGAAAAAAAGAAATACTGTTATTTTACTTAGCTGTATTCAACATAGTTATTTTTCTAGTGAAGTGAATGTCAGCTGTTGTTCAATTTGTTCTCTTTTATCACTTTGGCTAAAAGTTCACATGCTTTAATGATTGAGTTGTGTATCTAATTTGTTTACATGCTCACACTTAAGACATGCCTCACTGATAAAATACTTTACACACATTAGGCTTTTGAAATGTGTTTACATACTCCACAAATTCTTTTAAATAAAAAAGCCTCCTGTCTTTGTCTGCAGGGAGTAAATTGCTGGCATGATTTGGACAACACAGAGTACGATTGCTGGCCGCTCAACGGTCCAAATGATTACAACATGATTAGCTGTGGTGGTACGTTTTTAATGATTTAATTTGTCTGTTTGTTTGAGTTTTTCATTGCATTTGATTTGTAGTTGCTTTTGGTGATTTTATGTGAGTATTTATTGTACAATTAGATGTTGGTTATGTTCTTAAACGGCCATGTCTATAACGCATTTTATTAAAATCTGCTTATAGCACTGTATTATTATTGTTGTAAACATTCAAAAATCTTCATAATGTTTTATAACAATTCCACAAAGTTATAATATAATACAATGTAAAGCATTTAATAGGATTTTTAAGGTCAAGAATCAGAATTGCTGACATTCAGACATTTTAGATTTCATGATATGTTGTTAACAAGCACACTATAATACAGTGATAATGATGCATAATATGAAATATTATAATGTATTATAACTATGGTATTTATACTGCACTATGGTCCCTGAAAAAAAAAACGTGTTAGTCTGCAACAATCATAAAGTAATATGATTCTTGACCTTATAATTCATAACAAAATGCTTCCTAATATGTTATGACTTATTATAAAGTTTTATACAGGATAAGTATACA